GCTATCTGTTCCTTGACTTGTGCAATTTTGGTTGCAATTGTGGTTTGAGCTCCTTCAAGTTCGCCGTCTATGTCGTTCTCAACGCCTTCAACCATGGCTTGAAACTCTTCATCGGTCCATTGAGATTGGTGTGGGACGAATTTAACTTGCTTCATTCAAAAAATGAAAAAAATGTTTTTACTCAAAACGTTAAGGTTGACTGAACTGGTTGGATGTCGCCTTCACAGGTTATGTAGAACGGCTGACCCGAGAAGTGAAGGAGAGACTGAATTGCCAATTTCATATGGGGTAGGGGGTTCTCCTTGTTTGGTATTTTTATCCAAGGACGTTTGTTTAGGAACTTAACAAGAGTTTCTCTTTTGGCGTCCTTTATGTCGTCGAAAGGAGTTTTTTCTGGTATTTGAATTGGAATTCCAGTCGAAGTCTCGAGATTCAAGGCAGCCCTTCCAGAAATAGCGGTGAACTTGACCTTGGGCTTCATTACCCTGCGCAAGTACTGCTTAACAACTTCATTTATCTCTATAAGGTAAATTGCCTCGTCAAATCCTTCTGGTATTCCGAGTCCTTCCATCCGACAGGAAAATATTTTCCCGACAACTGAAAAAATTTTCCGGACAAAGGGAAAAAATTTTCCGGACAAAGGGAAAAAATTTTCCCGACGACAGGAAGAACTCTTCCAGTTGTCCGTCCGTAAACCATTCAAATTTTCGAAAATTGAGAACTTTTTGGTCGAACTTCAGAAAAAGTTTTTCCTTCCGACAGAAAAAGTTTTTTCTTCCGACAGAAAAAGTTTTTTCTTCCGACAGAAAAAGTTTTTCCTTCCGACAGAAAAATATTTTCCATCCCACAGGACACAAACGAATGTCCGACGTCCCACCAACCCAGTCCATTCCCAAACCAGAAGAACCGAAAGCTGCAGAACCACAACAGTCTCCTCAGCAACCTCAGTTCCAGCAAGTACCTCCGATTTACTACCAATTTCCACCTCAAGGTTACTACCCACCACAAGGCTTCCCGAACTACCCTCCTCAACCTATGCCTTACTTCCCCAACCCTTGGATGTTTATGCAAAACCCTGCCCCACAATTCCAATCTCAATCCAAGAGAGACCAAGAGTTCGAGGAAGGTCTGAACCGCTTACGCAAAGAGTATGCTACTACCCCAATGGAAGAAGACAGGCTCTCACTCTCTTCCCTCAAATCGACCGATTCGACTCGTACCACAGATTCGGTTCGTGACCGTGAAGACTACCTCAAGCAGTCTGAGAGACTCTTCATCCTACAACCATTTACAGTTGGAGCTCTCAAGAACATGCGCAATTACGAAGGTCAGACACCAGCTGGAGACCGCAAAACAGACGTACTCGCAAGAGCCGTCCAGCTCGTCAAACAAAGACTGAGATAGTCGACTTCATTCTTGCAGCTTGCCCATACAAGTAAAAAAAATAAACAGTTACGAGTTAAACTTTTATTATTTCTTTTCTGAGTTGTTTAGAGCTGGTTTCTCTTGTAGGAACCTTTCGTACTCTTCCATGGTCATGTAATTGCGAATTTTGTACGCAATTCCAGGTTCGTTGTTTTGAACCTGATGTATGTAACGCTTCCATCCTCCTCAGGGAAGTAAGCTGCTAACATCTGACCAAGTTTTCTCGGTGACTCGGAGCTCATAAAAATGTCACTTTTTAAACGTTAAGTTTTAGTCTTAATTTACCCTTTGTTTACCCTTTGTTTGTCAAGGTAGTATTGGAGTGCAATTTCTCCAAATTCTCTGTGTCGGAGTTCTTCAGCATTTTCCAAGGTGTACCTGGAGAACTCAAAGAAGTTGTCAAGAAGATACTGCCATGCTGCTCTTCTGAGTTCGTCGGTATTTTGGAAGTGTTGCACCTTCGAGTCTTCGGACATGAAAAAATGAACTTTTTCTATTAAACCGTTTTTGGCATTTCTCATGAGTGAGTATAGTTCTGCCGAACCATTGGAAGAGAAGAAGTACCCTTTGCTGGCAAAAGACAAAAATAGTTGCCTTAGTTGTCATTGCAATTGTACTCGTAATTGAATTCATTGTACTTCTTTCACGTACATAAAACTCAGCAATGGTATTTGCTTTAAGAAGCTACCATCTTACTAAGACTAAACACTTAGATTTTTCAAGCTTGACTTTTTACAATTTGAATTTGTTTGCTGAATTCAGTAAAAATATGTTTAGGTGAAGTGGTGAGATCTCAACTGTTTTTTCACCTCTTTCTCACCTCTTGATTTTCATGAATTTTCCGAAATAAAAAATAAAGTTAGTTTTATTTTTATTTATTTTTTTTTATCCGGAATATAAAGACAGATATGTCAACACAGAGAACACAACAACAGTTATAGTCCATGAAGCTAAATGAAGAATACGAGTACATACAGTTTAACAAACAATTGCGTCTCATTCGTTCGGTCAAAGACGATATGTACCAAATGCAAAGTATTTTGACAGCATGTTTTGCTCCAGATACCAAACACGCAGACGATTGGTTCAAAAACCGAAGCACACAAGAACTTTTGAGTGAAATTTCTCTAGACCGAGAATTCTCGGCCTTGCATAAAACACATGAAAATCGTAAAAATTTGCCAATAAATTTAAGAGGATATTATGTACATAGACTTCTTGTAAATGCTGTTGCAATGTGGGCTTCGCCTCGTTATGCTTGGTATATTTACAGACTTCTTGACGAACTTCACAGACAAGAACGTGAAGAGATGGAAAAGAAACTTCATGCAAAAGATGAAGTCATTGAAGCAAAAGACAAAAGCATTCAGAAAAGAATACCACGTTCGGTACCAAAAGGAAAGGAAAAGAACTATAAGTATATGATTTATACTGAAGAGATGGAAAATGAAGAAGACAGAGATATGGTTATGTTGCATTTAGTCAGAAGAAACAACAAAAGCTTTTACGACCTTGCTAAGATTTACAAATCTGACAGAAATTGGTTCTATCGCGAAAACTTACCGATTTCAATGACCCCAAATGAAGATGTGAAACAAATAGTTCAAGATACGTTACCTCAAACACACTATGATATTAAAGGTTGTACAATTCTTACCTTCAAAGAAGACTTGCCATTGTTAAAGGAAAAAATAACAGAGTATTTTGACAACTTCAAACAAGCAGAGTAAATGAACTCTTTATTTTTACGCTTGACTTTTTACAATTTGAACTTTGTTTGCGTAGATATGAATTCTGAAAGAAGTATGAGGGTCTTGTATGACTTTGTACTTCTCCCATAGTTCATGTCTGTCAAACTTACCTGCCATGGACTCTTTCATAAGTTCCATGAAATCGTCTTCGGACAATCCGGGGAAAAGTATAATGTCAGTAAGTATTCTTTTAACATCCTTACTTAAACTCTTTGCTGTCTGTACACATATTACGACTGAATGTTAAAGTGTCTGAGCTTCTTAAGAATTCGACACATTCTTGTTCTCTATTCTTTAACAAAGGATGAGAGCAAATCATCTAAGATAAGAAGACATCTATGAGGGTAAGTCTTCCAATCGTAAGATTGCAATTTCTTCGAAATGTATTCTATCTCTTTCTGTTTGTTTCTGAAGTGTTTCTTCTCTAATATTCTCTGCATTTCCTCATTTGGGTCTTTAAACTTAGAATTTATATACTCATTTATAGCATTATACTTCAAAACTCTTCTTTGGTACTTCTTTATCCAATCTAACAACTCAGTATCCTTTATACATACTAACTTAGACTTCTTTATAATATCTTTGAACGAATTGACGGTTTGGTCAAATTGACCAGAAGTACTACAAATAACAACTAACTCATAGAATGGGTTCTTCTCATCTAGTTCTTGTTGTTGTGCAGCCATTTTAAGATAAGTGAAAGTCTTACCCGACCCAGGTGGTGCAATTAGACCTGTTATACCATTCTGAGCAAATAAGAACTTGTCATGTATAGGCTTTATCTGAGCATTTTCTAACTTCCTCTTGTTCTTGTTTAAAACATTCTCAAATTTCTTGTCAATGTCAGCAAACTTTTTTTCTAACATATTTTTAGAAAAATTAAAATTTTTATCTTTTAGAAAATGTCTAGCGATTTCGCTATCTATATTCGAGACAAACTTTTGACAGCAAAACATCTGTCGACCATAAAATCTTACATAGTGTAAACAAGAAAGGTGAATTTGTTCTAAAGTTCTGTTTCTGGGAATATGACAAGAACCATAAAACATTAAGCAGAGCAGTCTTAAAATTTGTCAATGACAGACTTGTTGACAGAGATGACCCTTGGAAGATGAAGTCCAACAAAACTTCTTAGAATGCAAAGAAGACACATGCGCTGTTCTTGAAGATGAAATAGAAAACAGAATAGAAGAGCTATTAAAGGACAAAGAACTTTTACATAAATATGGTTCGGAGAAATTTGACATAACTCCACCAGAAAAGAAGAAGAAAAGAAAAGAAAAAGAAAAGAAAGTAGAAGAAGAGAAGAAAGAACCTGAACCAGTTCCAGAGAAAAAGAAATTTGACATGTAAAAATAAAATTTTATTTTTAGAACATTTCTGGGTCAATGTCAATGTTCTCTTCCTCTTTAGGAGCAAACACTGGCTTAGACTCTAAAATCTTTTTACCCAATTTACCTTGAACTTCAACTATCTTAGACTCATAATATTCATAGTCGTCTGCTTTCTTTGGTTCATAAGGTATAACAAGTTTGTATGCTTTGCCTTCTTTAAGGTTTGAGAACCTTCTGTCAAAATTTTCTTTGACTGCTAACAAACCTTCTATGTCTAAGTCTTCAAATTTCGCACCATTTTTAGTCACAATAGCAAACTTAACTGGTTCGATGTTCCAAACTTTGCTGAATGAAGACTTTTCAAAATGGTAGAAGTAAACATTCAAATATGTGAATGGGTCTAGTTCTTCTTTAAGTCCTGACATGTACTTGTTTACTGAGATGAATTTTGCCATCTTTTCTATCGGATAAAAAAATATTTTTTTAAAATTTACTCATAAAAATTTTTCTTTGTATATACACCATTCTGTACGTCTAAAAGACTTTTGACATTTGCCAAGAATGTTCGTTTAGACGCTGTCATATAACCATATTCTTGACAATATTGTTTATACGAATCGTACAATGACCTTTCATCTAAACACTCAAAGTCAGTTTCATCTATGAACAGTTCATATACACTCTTGTTTGCTTCTAACAATGTTTGTCTCTCTTCGGTATGTGGAATTTGTCTTGGATTGAACTTTGAAATATCTAATGTCATAAAATATGAGAACAAGTGGTTGTAAAAGTCAGATGTCAAAGTTTCTGCTAAGTCGTCAAAATATTCTGTATCTTGCATATGAGAATCTGACGTTCTGACAACTACATATCTTCTGTCAGAACTTTCTAACTTCATCGGAACAGCATTGTTTGAAACCATAATGAAGTTTGCAACATTTTCACAAACTCTTTGGTCTTTATATTTTCTTTCAACAACTCCAACTTTGTCTGTTATAAGACTCTTCAAAGCATCTGAGTTCAAAACTTTTGTTGTATCTATACTTTGAAGTTCATTGCAAACTATAAGTTTCATATTCTCTATTGAGGAGTTAAATTTACCGCAGATGTTTTCTAAGTTTGTCATATTCGGGTTCGAATAGCCCTCTAACAGTTTGCAAAATATCTGTAAAGAATGTGTTCTTACCAGTTCCTTGTTTTCCAATTATAATGAGAGCAGTTTCATTTTTAGCACTTGGATGTTGTAAGATGTTTGCAAACCAACATAAGATATACTCATAGACTCTTTCGTTTCCATTGCATATAATTTCTTTGACATGGTCTAACCAAGCTTCTATAATATTTTCTTTCCATTCTACTTGTTCATATTTATATCCAGTGAAGATAGAATAGAAGTTTGGAGAAGGTGTATAGAACTTTATACCTCGAACTGAAAAATCTTCTAACTTTGACAATAAGATATCCCAAGCATCTAACATCTTCATGCCAACTTGTACAACTTTTATTTTCTTAAGTTTCTGTCTACATTCTTGTTCAGACACTATTGTTGCTCTTGGTTTGTTAAAGACAACATCCCATTCTTTCATGACATAACATTCTGGGGCAGAGTCAACATAAATGACTAAACGTTTCAAATTCTCGACTGCTTTGTTATAGTCTCGAAATGGACACATATTTCTGAATGCTTGGAAGTCATAAAAATCTGAAACATCTATTCTGTACATTTTTATAAAAATAAAAAAAAATATTTTTTTTATTCTTGACTTTGTTGTTGCATTTGTTGCATTTGTTGTTCTTGAGCTATTTGTTGTTGAAGTTGTTCTTGTAATACAATACTTTCACCAGTTGCATCTTCCAATTCGAAACTTTCTGCCGTCATTGACAAATACATAGGACATAAAAGTTTTACAGGAACAAAGTTTGCGTCAACTAATGTCAACGTTATACTTGCCAAAGTGTTTGAGTTCACTAAGGTTGAAAATTCTGCATTCGAATGAACAATAGGCAAACCAGCAGAGAAAGTATTGTTTATACGCATAAGTATCTTTTGGTCATAATAGTTTCTGTCGACATTCGAATAACACTTTGAACCTAAGTTTGAAACAATATATAAGATTGGTGTGCTTAAGTCAATGGAATAGACATTCCTTGTATGACACCTTTTCCTGTTATAGGAAACTGTTGGTAGTAAAAACCAGAAATAAGTTTTGTATTATAGCTCATATGTTTATAGTAAACTCAGTCGGACATCCAAACATAATGAAACCTGCTCTAGTTGCAGCACATGTTACACCCGTACTTAAAGTATTAAATAAGTCAACAAAACCTGTTGGTGGTATATCTGAGTAAGTATCTTCAAAGGAGTATTTTTTACCATTCACAACAATAAAGTCTTCTGGTGTCAAAAGAGCAAAACAGGCTTTAGTCGTCATTGTGTTTAAAGGTTAGTTTACAATACCGTCCTTGAGGACTTTGTAAGTTTGTTGTTATAGAATTATATGACTCAGGGTTTTTAGTCGTAATAGTATAAACCATTATATCTTCTGCCATTTATATATATTTAAAAGTTTTTCTGAAAGTGGAGAAGAACTTCATCTAAACTTTCACATGGCGTTTCTTGAAGTTCTTGTCTAAGAAGTTCAAATATTTTGTAAAGACATAGAACTTTCCTTTGTCTACACGAACAAACAAAACAGGGTCTTTCATATCGTTCAAAAGTGTGTAAAGTCCTTTACATGAAATAAAGTCTATATTATTTTTCTTCAAACATCTTTCAAGAAGTTTTGACATTTTTACTTAGCAAATAAATTTTAATGAAATGTTGTGGTCGTCAAATATTTTTATAACGTCTGGGAAACTATACTTTAAGTTCAACGTTTCACCTCCTTTCATAACGTATATCTTGTCAATGACATTATATGAAACACCACAGCAACTAATGTCGGGTTCTATTTCTTTGATGTTTATATCGTCTGCCTCTGTCAAAAGTTTCAATAGTTCTTTCAAACTTCATGAGGTGCAATGACATATGAGTTCACTTTTACAGGGTTGTGTTCGACCAAGTTTAACATTATACTAAAGCTTGACAAATCTTCTCCTGAGTTTGAAGTTTGTCTTTCAGTTGTTGGTAGTCGTTTCGAATATCTGCAACAGAACTTAAGTCTCTGCTAACTTCAGGATATGTTGGTTGTTCTTTTACAGGAACAATTGTTTATACCATCTTCGTCTTCGTATGGTTTCCCCACTTCAACATCTCTGTCTTTGACATTGACAAACAACACTTTGACTGTTTGTTTGAGTTGGTGAATTTAACTTCACATCTGCCACCGCCATTAAACCTTTTGAAACACTCACGCTTCTATTTTTCGGAAATGACATTTTACTTAGAATAAAAAGATGGACGTATTCGAGTATCTCTTCGAATTGAAGCAGAACAAAGTTTACACACACAAACAATACAAATACATTGACAGAATAGTTCTTTATACAAACAATGGTAAATGTTATAGAATAGCAGTCTTTGCTGAACCAAAATATTTTCATATAAAGCAAAGAAAGTTGGTATAACTGAAATGGTGAAAGTTCTTGAAGCAGACAAAAATATAACAACAAAACTTACAGATATTTCTAAAGGTAAGTTTATCTTACAATATTATGTCAAAACTGGCGTACTGTCAATATTTGACGGAGAGAAGTCAGTTCAAGAACAACTTACTGACCTGCTGCCAAAATCTGCTCGATGGAAGCTGTCGTTATGCCAATCTGAGGAGCCCCAGCAGGTTTCATCGAACGAATCTTCAAAAGAGCATCTTCCGTGAAAAGTGCTATTGGTTTTGTAAACTTCTTTGCTCTCATTCATCTGGACCGTCTCTGTCACCAGTATATTGTATTTGTACAGTACCAACAGTTGAAATACCACCCATAAAGTCTTCTGAGTCAGCAAATGGAATGCCAAGCCAAAAGTTTGAACGGTCTCCATTTGTATATTGAGTTTTTTGACCTCCTGTATGAGTCCATACTTTCACATATGGCATAATAGAACTTTGCATTTCAGGGTTAATGGTTGTTGTGAAGTTGTTGTTAAAGTTCATAGCATCTAATGTCAAGTTGTATGACCTCATATCCTCAACTGTAGAATATTCTTCTCTTGGATAATATTTGCCATCTATGTTTATATGATATTTAATACCGGGGTTGTAGAAACAAGAATAGTCATTTATAGTTCGTCTGAACAGTACAAACATAGTATCTGCATGTTTTCATTGCAGTTGTTAAAGCAATATCTGTTCTTGCACCTGGGTCAGCACTTTGGTTTCCAACTTCACCTGCAAAGTCTTTGACAGATATTTGGTGTATAGGGAACATAAGTGGAACTGCAATATATTTGGCAGCTAAAGCATTTGAAATATCTGGTCCAACATATAGACTGCAAGTCTGCTTTCTATTCTCTTGCATTCAAACTTTTCGCATGTGAACTTAACTGGGTCCCAAGCAGTTCCAGCAGCATTGAAATAATAGTTTACTTCATTGTTGAAGTTTGAGAAACCAAAGTCTAAGTCAACTTTGTCTTTGCAAAAGTCACAGAACTTGGCTCCACCAGTTCCAGCTACAGTAATGCTGAATGGGTCTTGTGTTGGTGCAATGACTAAGTTATTTTTTGCTTGGAGTAAGTTCGATAGAAATTTTTCCTGCCCAGTTTGGCAAGTATCTTAAAAACCTGAAGATGAGGAAAGATGACAAAGGAACTCTAAGTTTCAGTTTTACTTTAGTGGCAGCAGTTCCATCTGAACCAGAAAGGTTAACATAAAACTCCTGGAACGTTAGGTCAAGTCTTCTTATTTTCTCAATATTTGCATACTGGTCTGTTTGTTCTCTAGCTTGTGGTTGTACTGAGTTTCTCAAAGCGAACCATTCATAGTTTGCCCATGTTACTGTTTGAACTAAGTCAGAGTTAGAATATATCTTATATCCCATGAAAACTTCTGGAGCATATTGGTATCCGACATAGAAAATTCCATTGCAACCTTTCTTGTCAGACAACTTGGCAGAAGGTTTTATTTCAATGTCTTGTTCCACGTATAAGAATGAGTTGTCAATAGAAATAATATGAAACCTGTCGCAAGCAAATCTACTGTTGTTGAAAGAACCTTCTCCAAACTCACCTACGTTTCCATAAGAAACAGCAGTTGTATATTCGTAAGTTCCAGGAACTATTTTCTGACCTTTCTAATGGCATTGTCGCATTCGTTATACCATTCGGAAACATTTCCGTTCATGGCATCCAAAACTGTTGGCGTTATATTCTGAGCGGCGTACATTCATATGGGTAAAAATATAGAATAGTTGGATTTATATATCATAATAGAACCCACTCGGACCAAGCTTTACTTTGTTCTACTCTTCTTCTTTGGTGTCGCTTTTGGTAACTTGCCCTCTGCTTCAAGTTGTTGCATCTTTGCCTCATGTTCACCTAGTATGTTGTAAATTTCCCATGTCCTTTTTGCCTTTGGGCTCTGGTCGCCCATCTCAGGTAACCTATATCCTAGAAAGATTTTGTCATAGTTTGTATTTGAGTCTTCGCGTATTGTTTGCATGACTCTTTCCTGAGTTTCCGGTTCAAGCTCTTCAAACAGAGCTTGTCCATATGGAATAAGCTCGTTTCCAAATATATGTTTTTGTAGCCATTCTGGTTTTCTTTCCATGTTACCAATATATCTTTTGTGAATGGGAAAGCTTTTACCCAATGTTTCAGTCTTGCGTCATTTATTTCTGTAGTTGGTTTTATTTTGTCAAGGAACATGTTTTTCAATACTAACATTTCATTTGGTACTGTCCATTTGAGTTTTCTTAAATATTCATCCCTTCTCGGTTCATTGTCTGCAAAGTAAGTTTTTATGACATTTTGTAAACTTTCGTTTGCAA